GTGATCATTGTGATAAAGTATTTGAAACAGAGAAGCTTTATTAAAGACATCAATATTCATTGATATATAGAAAAAAACTATTGAAAAAACAATTGATAAAACAGATAAAGAATGTCGTTTAGATTGAAGAAAAGGAAGTTAAGTAAACTAAGAGAGGCAGAAAACCTAAAAATGCTTAAAAAAAAATTGATTCAATAGAAATTTGCATATGACATAGATTAATTTAAGTCTTCAATTTAAATTATTTAATAAAGTTTGTGGTATTCAATATAAACTAGATAATAAGGCTTATTTTTATTCTTTAAATTAGATGATTGAGGTCAAAACTTGATTTATTTATTTTGCATTTAGTTGAGCCAATTATATTTAAGAAATTAAATATTTAGATTAAATCCCCTCCTTTAATTTATCTAGGTTGATCTTGACTTATTGTTAGAATAAATTAATCTAATCTAATAATTCTGTACAATCAAATTTCATTTATACTATATAACTTTATAATTCTGATATTTTTTCAATATCCTTGGTATGCTATAAATGTTTTCTAGTTTTAAAACATTAAGCAAAGCAAATCAAATGATCTTCTTAACAAAAAGGATTTATGCAAAAAAACTCAGCTGAATCTTAATGAGTTGGATCAGAGCAAGCAAAAGTATTCATCGATCAATAAATATATTAATCAGAATATTCTAAGAACTCCGATAAAAAGTAATTGCGGATAACCTTGAATTTTCTTTATTTTAAATTAAGAATATTTAAAAATACAATGTGTTTATATAGTTCTTAAATTTAATTATTTAATGGAGAAAAAATCAAATAATGAAAAATAACTAAAGGGTTTATTTAAATCAACCATCATTGGGATATTTAGTTATAATCCTTTCGAAAAAAACATTCTCTTCTTAAATAGTTATTCATATAATCTCAATTGATTATTAATGTGTTGATGATTCCATGTATATCTTCCATATTTTTTAACCTATATACCAATCTTTTTACCATTTCTATATTATCCAGAAATAATAAATTACCAGGAAGATGTAAAGACATCATTTATCTCAATCCGATTTCCTATTTTAGTTGAACTTACTTCTGTTTCTTCATTATACAATCTGCTTAAAATATAAGATAATCCTACATTTATTAATTATTGGGTTCATTATTCCAAAAAAAATTCCAACTTCTGACGACTTTTAACCATTTTCTATTAATTTTAAGTAGTTAATTTCAAGAATTAAGGTTTTTTTTTTGGTTCCATATTATTTTAAATTTCATAATTTATAATAAAATTATATATACAAGCTTTTGTTAACCACAACATTTTAATTCAACATTTTCTTTAGAAATTAAGCTTTAAATGTAAAGCAAATGTTATTCGTTTACAAGTAACGTAAGAGATTTTGTTAAAATAAATCATAAATCATATACTATTTAATAAATATATATTAAATGTACTACAATACTTATATTAGTATAAGTAAAATGATTGAAATTGGATGGAATTATGATAAATAAAGATTAATTCAATAATTAATTTAAATAATCAACATGAAAATCTTAAATCAAAATTAATTACAAGAAGCATCAGAAACAATATGCAAAATTCATAGTCAAGGATTGATTGCATTTGATTAGACTTATCAGATAAGGCAAAATATAAATAAGTTTTGGTCAATGTTTAGTCGAGAAAATAAATAAAAATAAAGTGAATGATATTGAGTAATCAAGAGAGAGGATCTAATAATTTAAGGTTTAATATACCAATTACTAAATATTTATTATTTTTGAACATATAGTAGATATTATTATTTTGAATAATTGATTTTCTTAAGAATTTATGAGTTTTTTTGAAAATTTCTAGAAAAATATGTCAAATCGAAAGAGAATCAAGTAAGACTCAACTATAATAAAAGTATATTTAAATTATGGATTTCAAAAAATCATTTAATGATTCTTTAGAGAAAATGCATAGATAGACATAATAATATACATTTCTAATTAAAAAAAAACAATAAAAATTATTGGAATAAGAATAATAATTAAATTACTTTGTAGATATATTATAATCTGAGTTATATTCCAAGGATGATAGAAATCGCCTTAATTGATGGGGGATACTGATGTTATTAGTGGGATCTAGAGAAAATTTGAACTTTAGTTCAGAAGTTTTTTTAAACCCTAGATTCATTTAAGAATACAAAATAAATTATTAAAAAGATATTATGGAAATTAATGCAATTGAATTAATTCCTATTAAATTACAGAAAATGTTTGATTTAGAATATTTATTAATTATGGATAGAAAAGAACAAGCCTAAGTAAAATTGGTAGTAATCATAAAAACGAAATTATTATGATGGAGATGGATCCATTGAATAAGAAAATTGAAGATCAATTTATATGTGTTGATTGCATAGCTGAAAATCCATAAACCAAATATCAGACTATTGAAAATGAGGATAACTAATGGAAAGTATAGTAAAGAAGCTGAAAGGATATTAAAAGAATAAAAACATGAAAAAGAAAGAAAAAAAATCTGGACTGGTTAGTAAACATAAATAAAAATAGTTCTTATGCATAGATAAGACTAAATAATCAGATTAGATGAAAACGATTTCAATTTAGGTTTAGATGATGAATAATTGTTGATAGCTTTAAATTAATTTTTTGAAAAACTAAAAGTACCGTAAAACCCAATAATTACCACTTTAAAAAATTAAGATTGGATTTTCAAAAAAGAAATTTAATATCACTTAGAATCTTTATAATAATTAGAATAATAAAATATTTAATAATCTGATTAATGAAATTTTTAATAATCTTTTGATATAAAGTATCAATTAATCTTTTCATAGTTGAAGGAGCTTTAATTATTGAACTATTTGATATGGTTTAAGAAGTCTAAAATTTGCTTAAAAAGATGAAACTACAAGAGCCAAATCAAATTTATCAAGGAAATTTAAGTATTGATTGATTAAGCTAAAAAATATTCAAGTCAATTAAATTTATTTGATTAGACAATCTCAGCTTGTTTACAACAAAATATCTATAAAAAACAAGGTGTTTCGGCTGTATTTGGTGGATCAAAGTTTTTTGTTGGAATAGGATTTCGAGATATAATGTAAAAAAAAAAAGAATTATTATGATTGTTATTCCAATGGGTGAATATATAAATAAATCATTATAGAACACATTTAAAACTTAATATTGTTATTTTTACATGATAAATAACTATAGTGGATTTTCAAATAATGATATAATAATAATTGAAACAAGTATTTAAGATAAATATATTAAATGGAGTAGATAGATACATTATAGGAATTATATCTATTTGTTGATTTTGCTGAAAAAGCTTAAGTAAAAATATTGAATTGAAAAAGAATAATATTAAATGATTTTATAATCAATTGAATATTTATTTAGATTATTTAAAATACAAAAGATGTAATTCTTCATATATTTTAATTTTTGATTTCGAATTATTTGTTTGAATTTTGGACAGTAAAATTTTTAACATCAATAGTAAAGAAAAATTATAATATATATAATATATATATCTATATATTTTTTGTAATTTTTAACATTAATGTAAAAATAATAGTTAATAGAAAATGACTAAATATCATCTTTTATAGATATTATAGTAAACGATTATCTGAAGCATTATAAATATCAAAACCAGACTCCACATTTATTCTTAATCAAGTTGGATGGGACCATATAAAAATTGGAGATTTGTTTTTAAAAAGCAATTCTATTGATTAAGTATTGATAAATTTAGGGTTATCACATTAAATTAAGAATCAATCCAATGAACCTATTTTATGCTCTATATGTATTACAAACAAAATCAATATATCATTATCATGTAATCATTAATTTTGCAATGATTGTTTAAATATGCATATTGAAGAATAATTAAAATACACATGCTTTCCAAGTTGCTTATATTTTTAATGTAATAAAATTATTCCAACTATTTTCTATTCACATTTAGAACAATTTAAAAATTAAATAATATCGAGTGTTCAAAATAATAAAAAGAAATGTGGAAATAAAAAATGTCTTAATTTGATTGAAAATTCAAAATAAAAATGGTTTATAAGATGTTAATGTGGATATTTAAATTGTACACTTTGTCAAAATGGTGATCATAGACCTTTATCTTGTGCTTAAGCATAAAAATAATATTAACATTTTTCAGATTTAACAGAAATTAAAAAATATTTTTCTTAAAATAACTATGCTTAATGCCCAAAATGTTTAGTCTAAATAAAAAAAACATTTGGATGTAATGTAATAAAATGATTTGTAGAACTAGAATGGGATGTGGATATTAATTTTGTTGGATTTGTAAAGAATCTTGGGTACCAACACATTATAAATGCATTACTAATCAATTTTTTAATAGGATTGATTTGTACAGTCAATCTACATCCAAGAAAACTTTTCAAAATCCTCTTACAATTCCTAATACTTTTAAGCTTCAATTTCAAAAAGAAATTAAGAATAAATAAGACCTTGATTTAATTGAAAACTGTTATGATTTTCTTGATTTGGCTGATGATTTAAGTAGGAAAGAAGCAATTTATATTTCTAATCATCCTGATATTTAAATATCCTCATTTCATTAATCTTTTCCCTATGAGAGTTTTATGCTATTCAAAAAGAACATTATTGATATTTTTTAGGCAATTTATAATACAAATCAAAAACTCTCTGATATTCCAGCAGAAATGATTCATTCTAAATAAATATTTAAAAATTCTTTGTGTTATTGTTTAGTATATGATATTTTAATCATATCCATATAAATTGCTAATGTTAGGTTATATCATCTTTAATTTTTAAAGAAATATAATCTATATTATTATTATTAAATAATTTTTTCACAATAAAATTAATTTACTTTCTAAATATTATAAAGTTGATAACCAAGTATCAATATTGTAAATATTTTAGTTTCTGGATGAATATTTAGATTAATTCAACCATATTTTAACTATTTAAAATTTTTAAACTCAAAAATTATACAAAAATTATCATTTCTCTAAATTAAAATTAAATAATAATTTTATAATTTGGGCAAAAATAAATCCATGAAAAATGTATGAGAAATTTCAAACAATCTTAAAGTCTTAATTATGGGTAATAAAGTAAATAAATCAGAGATAAAACTATTTAAAGATAAAAAAAATGTAGGGAGTTGGTTTCAAATTAATTTAATTGAATAATAAAATAATATCCTTGTCTTCTTTCTATTAATTAAATAGTTTATTTAACAGATGACTCATCACGGATTTCAATATTAAGCTTTTCTGAATCCAAAGGCATCAAGAAATTTTATTTGATGAATCTGTATTTAGAAGATAAAATTTAATAACAAACTTCAACATATAGAATTATAAATATTTTGAAATTCTTGATGGAGGATCAAAATTTTTTATCAAGTTACAGAATTTATTATTGAATAAAATAATAATAATTCCTATATTAAATTACAATTGAAAAATATTTATAAATATAATTTATCTTTCAGGTGAATAATTTAAACTTTAATTATGTCTTGCTGAATATATGAATAAAACAGTTTAAAAGAAAATCATTTAATAACGAACTTGATACAATTTTAATAGGGAATATTTAAAGTCCTCAATCTTGCAATAAAATTATTGTTAATATTTTCAATAGACTTACAATATTTGGAGAAAAATGTATCAAATTAAATTGTCATTTTTTGGTGTTAGATATCAAATTAGATATTAAGTCGAAGTTAGTTATAAAAAATATAGAGAAAGACAATGATATTTATTAATGAGATAGATATTAAATGAGAATTATTGTAACGATAGTATTATAGAGTATTATTAATGCATTACATTTTGGATCCAATTTTAAATATTTATCATTAATTTATGTGAGTTTTTAGCTTATATTCATCCATATCCTTAATTAGCTTACAACATAAAAAGTGGATTATAACAAATAGAGTTAGATTACAAAAATGGTATTATAATTATTTATAATATTTAATTGAAAAGATTTTTTTTAAAGTAATATATCTAGATGATTAAGAATGGATTTAGAAATTTAATGCTTTTTCATTCCATAATCAAAATTTTTATTTAAATATTTTAGCAGATAGTGTTTTATAAGTGCTATATTGAGAAGGTAAAATGTAATTAGAAGTAAATTATAACTATGAAGAAGAATAAATATGTGAAATTAAATGTTGTGATTTATTTTAAACTTGCAATGGACCAACTCAAAGGGATTGTATTTCATGAGCATAAAATTCAAAAGATAATCGAAATTTTGATTTTGGAATTAGATTTTATCAAAAAATGTAGTAAAATGATATCCAATACTGAATGCAGAATTAATAAATGATAATTAATATATATCTTGCCCATTTTCATTATCAATGAAATCGTGCTAATTTTTCAGGTAATAACCACTTAAATCCTTGTAATTTTGATTATTAAAGATTCTCGAACTTCAACATTTCTAAAATTTAATAAAGTTACTTGAAAAAATATTTGATATAAATAATTCATTTTAGAATTTAGAATTATTTTGGATGTTTAAATATTATAATATAAAAAAGATATCTTGTATCCAATTTTATCATAACTATTATAATAGTAATAAGAAAAGATATTTTTAATAAGGTAATACTTGAAAAAAATGTAAGAAAAATTGTAAATATTGCAAGAATTTCTAAACATGTAGAAGATAATATATAATTTACTGAATTTAAATATTTACTTAAAAATTATTTATCATTTTTTATTAGTGTAAAAAAACATAATAAAGATGAATGGATTGAGAGAACTTTAAAAAAAAAGTGAATCAAAAGATTGATGACAAATTTGCATGGTTAAACAATAAAATACACTTACAAGATAAAATAGAAATATAACAGGTTTGTATTGATTAAATATTATTCCTATCAAGTATTAGTTGTTATATTCATATTAATGCTATTTAGAAATGAGATTACGCTCCATGTTGAAAACCTTATTTAAGTTGTATCGCAAAAAAAAATTAAAAACAATTGTGAAATAGAAAAATAAATCTGAATTTAATTAAGGTATATGAAAGAATTAATTCAAAGATCTTAATTCATCCTCTCTCTTTAATTTCCACCAGACTTCTTTATTTCTGCAAATAAATAATTTACTACAAAATTTATAGTAGTAATAGTTCTCTTAGTAAAATTACCCTTATTATAATGTGTTTTGAATTTAGAAGGAGTATATAGATTATAATTATATTTCTGTAAATTTTTCAATGTTAAGTTAAATACTGCACATAGCACAAAGGTAGTGTAACCGATACATATTATCGGAGGGTCTAAGTTTGATTTTTGGTGTGTAGAATTTTTTTTAAGATATTATATCAAAATCATATTTTGAGTTAATAAATATAAATTATTTCTCCTTTCTTTGGCCAATATAAATAAACTTAAATTAATTTAACATCATATTAGTTTTCGCATACAAGCTTGATAAAATATGTATATGACCATTTAATAGCATTCTAATTTTTATTATTATACTAATTATTCTTGTAAACACTTTTTGCATTAAAATTTTACTTTTTCAATTACTACTTTAAGCAAAATTATTATTCTAAATAATTCTCGATAATTATTTTTAAAATAATTTATATTTAATGATACTTAATTAAAATACCATTATCAAATTTAATAATTTCATTTCTTCTATATATGCTTGTAATATGGTTTTGATTTATTTTGAATTTCTATTCTTTTGGACAAACTTTTGATACCTTAATGAGGAAATCATCTTTAAATCTTAATAATTTTTAAATCAATTTCAAAAAAATTCTTATAAATTTTTTACAATTATAAGATCCAAAAAAAACAGGTTGATTAATAAGAATCATAGCTTTACTTTATTTAGGCAAATATTTAAATGGAGGCTTCAATTGGTGAAATATATGAACTGATTATATAATAAATCTATTATACAATTTCTATATTTCATCATTTAATGATCATTTATTGATTTCAGCAATCTATCATATTGAAATTTTCTCAATTTCTCTTTATACAAACGAAGTATCCCTCCTTTTTCGAAAAAAAAAAAAAATAAGTTTGTTTTTGGTTTTCTTATCATTTCATCATTTTGTTTTTACCTCCATTCAATCAAATAATTACAATACCATAAGGCAAAAATATTTTAAGGTTACTATTAAGGTAGAAGAAAAGAAACCTTGTATTTTAAAAATTAATTTCAAAATTAAATTTTGAAGTTAGAGGCAATATTCTGAGTAATTTTGATAGCTCGTCAATTTAATTATCACAGCTTTAGCTTTCGGAAATAAATAACGAAAAATTCATACTTAAGATTAGCTCATTCTTATTCATTCAAATTAGTTTTCAATTAGGAAATCTCTTATAAAGGTAGTTTGGAGAAACTGAACTTATACATGAAATTCATGATCTTACCATCCTTCTTTGCTGGTTCGAGTTTACAACTTTGATTCAAGAGTTTAAAGATTATTTCGAATTTTATGTGAACAATTTGGCTTTCTAGCAAATAAAGCCTATTTCACTCTTGAGAATCTTGGAAGCTTAGAAGGTGATGTCCTCCAATTGGGATACAAATAATAACATATAAATGGGAAAGTCGTAAATTAAAAGTAATTCATAGGTTTGAAATAAAGGTCTCGCTAATAATCAAAGTCAGAAAGTCTTGTTTTATATTATATTAATAAATCTAGGGTCAGACATCTTATTAAAATCATAAGTTAAAGTATTACAATTTTATATGCTTAGCAGAGGATTTAATCTAATTATGATCTCTTACTTGTGAAAATCAATTAATCTCAAAATTTATTCACAAAGTTGAATTAAACATATTTTTTCTTTTTTAAATCATTTTGTCTAATTCAGAGTTAATTAAAAATAATTTTCAATCATAATTTTAAATTTCAGTGGATATTTTTATAAAAAAATATCTAATAAAGCTATATTTTTATTATATTGAATTATTTGAAAAAATTATTATGATGTTCCCAAAATTTTTTTTTGATAATTTTTACATCATAAAATTATAATTA